TGTGTCCAACGAAGCCCTGCACAAGTTGCTCTCGAAACTGATTAAGCTAGTCTCCCACCGAGAGCAACCCTTTTATGTGATGCATATCAGGTCACATACCAACTTGCCAGGGTTTTTGGCAGAGGGCAATCGGCGTGCCGATTCTCTCGCTGCCGCCCCGGCTCAGGTAGCTCCGCTCCCAGATAAGTTCCAGCAGGCTAAGATCAGCCACCAGTTTTACCACCAGAATGCGCCCGGGCTGGTCCGGCAATTCCACCTCACTCGTGACCAAGCCAGAGCCATTGTGGCCACCTGCCCGTCCTGCAAGTCGCTCCCCCTACCATCGGTGAGCTCAGGGGCTAACCCTAGGGGTCTGAGGTCCTGCGAGGTATGGCAGATGGACGTTACTCACATCCATTCCTTTGGGAGGATGAAGTACGTCCATGTCTCCGTGGACACTTTCTCTGGGGCAGTCTTTGCTTCTGCCCACGCAGGGGAGAAGGCCAAAGACATTGAAAAGCATTTGATACAGGCCTTCGCTATGCTGGGCGTCCCTAAATTGATAAAAACAGATAATGCCCCCGGGTACACATCCAAGGGATTTGTCAGCTTCCTGCAGCAATGGGGAATAGAGCACAAAACTGGCATCGCATATTCCCCGACAGGTCAAGCAGTGGTGGAACGGACTCATCAGAGTCTCAAACGCATGCTGAAACAGCAAACACCAACTATGAAGGTGGAGTCCCCCCAAGTTCGGCTCGCGCGTGCCCTCTTTACACTGAATTTCCTAAATTGTTCTTTTGAAAACCTCAACCCACCAGTCACCAGGCACTTTAACAACCACGAGCTGAGCAAGGTTAGGGAAAAACCACCAGTGATCATCAAAAATCCAGAGACCTGGCAGCTGGAAGGGCCCCATGAGTTAGTTACCTGGGGACGGGGATACGCTTGCGTGTCCACGCCTTCAGGACTGAGATGGGTCCCGTCCAAATTTGTCTGGCCATATGTCCCTAAACACCAGACTGATAAGAAAAAGGATCCTCAGGTGAAGCATGCAGCCCTCCGCCGACGGAGAAAGTCTCCCCCCTTCCTTTTTGACTCAGCACCTTCTCTTTCAGAGCCTTCCCTTTCACCATACAGTTCCCTGGACTCACCTTTCCCTTTTGATTTAAACCTCCCCTCCCTAAAATGCTGACTTATGTTGCTGTTAACATTCATTGTACTTATTATGAGTTTTAGTAATGTTTAAAGGTTTAAAGGTCATCAATTCCACCGCGCACATCGACCACGCAGTCTTCACCGCCCCATCAGAGCTGACATCTGCTCAACACAGACAGCCAGAGAAGAACCGAGCAGACATTAGGTTCAACGATGGGGAAAAGGACTGTAAAACCTCCCATTTAAGTTATTTTCCGTTCTTTTCTTTTGAAAAACAGAAGAGGGAGTTGTGGAATTGTGTTATTATATGTTCTATTATGTATAAGGTCATTCCATGTATCCCCTCGCACTCTGTAAGTGACCTTCTGGGCTCTCCCATTTCCCCCCGCGGTCTGCCTTCCCGAGGAAGTGCTTAGTCATTTTGTTTACGTCTCTCAGACCATCTGTCAGCCATACGGCGGGGTCGAGAGACGACCGGGCACCCTTCCATCTGTCCATCTCCCATTGGACCCATGCACCCCACTATCCCCAAGTCCCCCCGTGGCGTTATCTCATTGGCCGCCCCGGGTTTCCCCTCTCGAGTATTTATAGAACGGGTTGGGGACGCCCCGGTGCTTTTTCTCCCGCCTGGCCCCTGTTCGCTGCTGCTGCCCGGCCCGCCGCCTCTTCCCCCGCCGGATCCCTGCGTGCTGCCGCGGCTCTCTCTCTCTCTCCCGGCCCCTGACTGCCGCAGCCGAACCGCTGCTGTCGCTGCTGCCGCGGTCACCGCGGCTCCCGCACGTGCCGGCAGCAGCGCCGCGGCTCCACACGCAGCCTCTCTTGGATCGCGGCCAGCGCCGGAGCGCGCCGCCCCGCCCCCGAATCGGCCAGGCGGCACGGACAAACTCGAACTTAGCACGCAGCAGCTTCTCGGTTTTTGCCTTCCCAACCAAGCCGTAATAAACCGAGACATCGCCCGCGGGGGAAAAAGTCTCTCTCCTTTTATTTGCCTTGGGACTCGCCTTGCTCCCAGACCCACGCAGCACCGGCAGATACCCGCGAGGGTTCGCCGGAAAACACAGAAGTTGCCAGCGCTCCCCCCCCCCTCACAGAGCTAGCTGGGACGAAAAGGGGGGACAAGAGAGAGCGCTAAGGCATTCTTCTCTTTCTTTTTGGGTTTATGTGGTATCCTGTAATTGGGTAGAATAATCTGCATTGTGGGTCTTTAGGGGTCAGTTACTGGGTTAGAAAGAAAACTAATTTAGGTGTCACTTCTTAATTGGGTAGCTTAGTTTTTCATTAGACTTACAAGGCCTTGTAACAAGAGATTGTTGGCCATTTTGGTGCTGTTTTCCTGCACGCAGAGTCTGGTGCAGACAGTGTGCTGAAGTTTTGATAACAATAAACAAAAGCTGAAGACCGAAAAAGTCCAATGCAGCTCTGGTTCCTGACACAGAACTGCTCCAGGAGGGTCCCCCTGCCAGGGGAGCCGCCAGGGAGTTGCCCAACTTGGGGCCCGCAAACTCCCAGCTGAATCGGGGATCAGGGGGCTGTTGTGAGGAAGTGACACACAACCCTCAAAACAACAATCCATGATTCCTGCACGGACTCTAGAAAGGCGGGTTGGGGGTCAAACCAAAAGAGTTCCTGGAAGAAGTAAATGAGTTCAAAGAAATGTTTGAATGTCTATAATCTTTATGAATATGTTTTTGGACAATACAATGGAAAAAGCAGATAAGAAGAGTTGCTGTGGCTAACCAGTGTGCCTCTGGCCATTGCCAAGCACCCAGCGCTGTTATTGATTTGTCTCTAATTATCCCTTCTTAAAGTTTTAAAAATCGTCTTGCTCATTTTGCCCCTCTTTGGCTTCTTCTCCAGGAGCAGAGGGAGCCGGGGCAGAGACCGCTGTTCCTTCTGCCATCTGCGGCAAGAGAGAAGCATGAGGGACAGGCCGTTACCTCTCATTTATAACCTCCTTCCTCCTCGGATCCACAAATACCACTTCCAAGGAGAAATCAGCAACTCTGTTAGCGATGGGATTCTAAGTGACTCTGACCAGATTAAAGTGGGTTAACTCAACAGAACTCTATTTGATGAACTCTATGAATTTGATAGTCCTCCCTGGCTGCTATCAGCAAGCAGCGGTGCCTCTGCACAATGCAGCTTTTAGCTCTTGAAAACTCTGAAATGGAAAAGTCAGAGATAGCCAGCACGGACTTTGTTATTGCTGCAGCAGACAAGGAAAACTCAAACTGGATCAGAATCCCATGCAGTGCACGAAAAGGGCAGGAAAGGTTGCGCAGACGCCTCTTTGCTTGCTGGAAAGAGGGAAAATGAGCGGGGCTTCTCCTCCTAGCAAACCAACAAACCACAAGTCGGAAGTGTCCCCTCCTCAGGTGGCTAAAGCACTTGGATGCAGTGAGGGCATGTCTGGCAGGGAAACAGCCCTGGTGGTGAGCACTGCCATGTATGGATCCATGGATCTGAAGGTCCCTCACAAGCCTCCCGTTGTCCAGGCTAAAGCTCCCTCAGCACCTCCTCCTTGGCCTTGCACTCCACAGCCTTCCCCAGCTCCCGTGTCCTTCTCTGCACATGCTCCAGCCCCTCGAGGACTTTCTGCTTCAGAGGGGCCCACAAGTGGACTCCCAGCCATGGCTGCAGCACTGCCCAGCCCAGGGGGACGGTCACTGCCCTGCTCCTGCTGCCCCACTGCTGCTGACACAGGCCAGGGCATCCTTGGCCTTCTTGGCCACCTGGCCACACACTGGCCCACCTTCAGCTGCTCTTGACCGGCACCCCTGCGTCCTTTTGGCCCACGCAGCTCCCCCACCACAAAATTGCCCCCTTGACTTGAAATAGAGCATCCCCAGTTCCAAGATGTCCTTCCTCTTCTCAGCAACACAAGACAGCAGTCAAGGACTTGCAGCTTCCCCCCCAGCCTAGGCACTAATGCCATTCCCAAAGCTGCAGGCTGTGTGCAGCTGTCCCTGCAGGATGGCCCCAGGGCAGAGCCCAGCCGGGCTCCCCCTGCAGCCCCTGAAGCTTGGGGCAGGCAGTGGTCCCAGAGCTGAGGTTCACGGGGAGCACCCGCAGCTGTGCCTCGCACTCTGTTGCCGTGTCACCGTGCAGGCTGGCTTGTGCGGGGTGAATGTACCAGCCCTGGTTTGACTGACAGGGGCCTGGCCCATCACAGCTCTCCCAAGGCTGCAGGCATTCCCCAGGCCAGAATCTGAAGGGGCACAGAGATCAGACCAGTGAAATCATCCAGACTGGGTTTTTCAAAGGCCCTTTAGAAGGAAGGGCTTGAGAATAAACGTGCTCTGTTTGCCACAGGAACATCGGGGTGAGTTGTCTCTTTGGCTCCAACCCACTTTCCTCCCCGCGCCAACGTTACCCACTCCCTCACACGTCCCCCCCGTGCCTTCCCACTGCCTTGTCCTGTCAGGGCTTCCGCAGCCCCTCATCCCTTCGTGGCCCCGTCCCCTCAGGCTCTCCCCAGCCCGGCCAACCTGCCCGGCAGCAGCGCCGCAGCCCCACAGGAGCTCCAGAGGAGCCCATCCAGAGGCACCTGGGAGCCCTCAGCAATCCAGGCAGCAACACACGGGCAGGAGGACACGGATGGCGCTTCCTGCCTGGGACAGGGCTTGTGGCCATCTCCAGGCACCGCTCTCACAGAGATCCCCACAGCTCCAGCCCCTGCCCATCTGCTCTGTGGGCAGCACAAAGGCTTTGGCAGAACCACCAAAGGCCAAGGGGCTTCTGGCCATTTTCCCTGCAACCCTGCATGCCTGGGCAGCTTGCTGAGCCCAGGAACCCTTTTGTCCCTCTTCCCCTAGACCCTGCAGAGCCTGGGCAGCAAAAGAAAGATCCTGGGAGTCTGTCTATTACAACACATCCTATATTTATATGCTAAAGTAAAACAAAAAGACAGAAAGAACAATCTTAAAGAAACGAAACATTCCTGCTGGCTCGGGTGGCCCCAGCAGACAGAGCCTCTGGGATCAGCTCTCTGCAGAGCTCCAGCAGCGCAGCCAGCCGAGCCCCGACAGACGAGGCCGTCTCCTCCATGCCCTGCGGAGCCGATCATGCAGGTTGTCAAAGATGGAGTATGGAGCTCTCTCTGCTTCCTGGAGGACGTACAATGTTTGAACTGCCAGGCTTGCGACAGGGACACTGATGTCATTGGCCATGCCTTCAAGGGCTGAAAGAGAGAGGAACAGAGCCATGGTCAGTTCCCACATCTGAGGGGACCCGAGGGGACTCTGTGCCAGGGCCATCCCAGCCGGCTCTGGCCACGGCCAGCAGGGAGCAGGGACCAGCTGGATCAGCCCGAAGCTGCTGGCCAGGAATCCCCCAGGTGCCCTGAAACCTCTGTGTGCTCTGCCCACGCCGGCCCTGGTCCGCACAGGGAGCAGAGCCCTCCGCAGCCGGGGCAGGGCTCGCAGCTCCCCGCCAGCCCCCGCTGGCAGCCCGCTGCCCTCACTCACCCTCAGAGATGAGCTGGAGCTCTTCCTTCCTCCCCCTCAGGTACCGCCCGGCCGTCCCTGGGAACACAGAGCCTGTCAGGCCCGGCGGCACAGCTCCCTGCCAGCGGCGCTGCCAGCCCTGTGCCCACACGGCCTCCTGGCCCGGCTCGTGGCTCACCCATGAACCTGACGGCCGCCTCTCGCAGGGGCTCCTGTGGGCTCTGCAGGTAGGGCAGGGCCCGGCGCAGGTGCTCGGCCACGCTGCTGCTGTCCTCTGCCAGCTGCAGAGAGCGGCAGGAGGGAAGGGTTGGCCCCGCAGCCCCGCCGGGCCGGGGCTCCATGGGCACCCGGCTCGGGCCGCAGGAGCCTGGAGCAGAGCCCGCGCGGCCTCGGGCTGCAGCAGCGGGCAGGGGCACAGCTGCCAGCCCGCACACCGAGCACCGCGCTCAGGGGGCTTCTCCAGGCTGGGGCTGCGGCTTCCCGGCCCTCCTTACCAGGCACTCGGTGAACTTCCACGGCTTCTGGTTCTTCAGCAGCTTTTCGAGATCCCTCTGCTTCAGGAACTCGGCCGCACAAAGCAGCGTTTCCTGAGAAGCCTGGAGAGCAGCAGAGACGCGGAGATGGCCCCACAGCCCAGGGCACAGGACCCGTCCCTGTGCCAGGGCCTGGAGGAGGCTGCAGCCTGCGAGTCGCCAGGGCAGGGGCAGCCCAGCCCCTGCCAGGGGAACAGCAGCAGCTGCTGAGTCCTCACCTCTGCCACTCGCTGGTTCTCATCATGGCAGTGGAAGGAGAGTGGCAGCAGGCTCTGGCGCACGTGTGCCTTCAGGGCCTTTTTTTCCTCTTCCGGAAAATGATCCAGCATGTCTCGGAAGATAAACATGGAGCTCAACTGCACCTGGCTATCCTCCTGTATGAAAGGAAGGAAGAAAGACCTCAGCGTCAGCTGCTTCAGGCCCACCTGGGCACAGCCTGTAAGTGCACAGGGCACAAAGTGTGCGGGTAGCACCCGCTGGCCGTGGCTGGAGGCGCAGAGCCTTACGTTGTCAAAGAGTGGCAGGAGCGCCTCAGCCAGCTGCAGGGCGAGGGTGCTGGTTATTGGGGCACCATTGCAGAGAAATACAGCTCTGAGGAGACCTGTGGTCATCCTGAGCATGACGCTGTCATTTTCCGGCAGGAGCTCCACGAGCCTTTCATGCAGGCTCCACATCCTTATGGCCATCTACTTGTGGAACACAAGTGTGTGAAACACCATCCTGCTGCCACAGGGCCCAGGGGCCAAAGGCCTGTGCCAAAGCACTGGGGCAGCTGCAGCAGGAGGCAGGAGAGCTGGCAGCAGCTGCCTCAGTGCCCCAAGGCCAGCCGAGCCCCAGGGACTGCCTTCCCCAGCCCCACGCTGGCAGCACGGCTTCAGCCCCTGCGCTCTTCTCACCGAGGCACTGGTGGTGCCGAGCACCACGAGGCCTCTGAGTGCCAAGCGACGCCTCCCCCTGCACTCGCTCTGCAGGTTCTTTGACAAGAACTCCAGGACGCTGTCACGGCGTTCACTCAGGTTCAGGCGCTCCAGGACCTGAAAGGCACAGGGCAGTGACGGGGGAGCGGCCGGCGGGAGCCCAGAACCGCACAGGGCCGGGCCCAGGCAGCAGCACAGGGCGCGGGCTCCGTCCCAGGCACTGCGGCCAAGAGAGGGCAGAGAGCCGGGAGGCAGCTCAGCGAGGCAGCGCTGGCCTTCAGGCTCACCTCCACAAGGAACGCCAGGGCGGCCAAATCCCGGCATGGCGTGTCTTTGCTGAGCAGCCCGAGCAGCTGGAATGCAATCGCGGAACACACGGCTTCGGATGCGCGGCGCATTTCTCTGACAGGAGGAAATAGGAGCCAAACCCTGAGCCAGCGGGGGCAAACCTCTCCCAGGACTGCCTCCCAGAGGTCTGGCCTTTCTCCAGCACCCTGCAAGGGGCAGCTGAGCCCTCTGGGAGGTTGCTGCTCTTGGGCACGCTCCTCTCCCAGCCTTTTGCAGCCTCCTTGGCCGTCCCTTGGTGACAAGGGCTTCTGGCCCACGGCCACGGGGACAGTGTGGGGCACCTCGGGCACAGGGCACACATGCCAGGGACAGCTGGGGAGCAGGGGGTCTCACCTGGCCAGCACGCCCACAGCACAGTGGTGGGTGTCAGCACAGAGCAGCGTGTCCCAGCCACCCTTGTCTTCCATGGCCACCACCACATCCTCATAGTGCAGTCGGCAGAGCAGGGCCTTCAGGGTCTGCTCTGCAAAGCTGTGCGCAGAGCAAAGCCCAGGTCACGCTGGGGGCACTGGCCCCTGCCCAGGGATGTGGCAAGGACAGGAGGACTGGCATGGAGCACCTGCTGGGGTTGGTGGCAAGGCCGTGTTGCTGCTGGCATCCCTTCCAGTAGGTATCGACCTCCTCTGGCATATCCAGAGTGCTGAAGAGCACTTGGAAGAGCAGATGCACAAAGAGGCAGGGGAAACACACGGTGACTACATGTGGCACACAGGGCAGCTGGAGGATCTTCCACATCACCACGGTTGCCTGCAAAGGACAGAGCAGCCCGAGACAGCGCTCAGTGCCGAGGTGTCTGTGTGGCAGGGCCCAGTACGGGAGGGAGAGGCCCGGAGAGATGAAGGGGGAGCACCGAAGGGGGAGCACCGGGCCTGGTGGCCCTGAAGCTGCCCCAAGGCCAGGTTTCAGCCCAGCGCCTGAGGCAGGGAGACGCCGTGGGGGAGGGAGGATGGAGAGCTGCTGGAGAGGTGGCCTTGGGGCCAGCAAAGGCAGAAACTCACAGCCAGGGCAAGGACAGCCGTGTGGTCCCCATCGGAGGTGCACGTGCTGTGCTCTGGCCAGCTCCCCAGCACCTCGAGGAGTACGAGCATGGCCGGCTCTGCAGTCCTGGGCGAGCACATGATGCTCTTCCACATGGCCAAAGCAGCTCTGTGGGTCAGAGCTCTGTCTCAGAGGAGTCTGGGACACAGCAGCGTGGCCTGGGTGGCAGCGGGGAGCTGAGCTGCTCTGCCAGCCCTGCCTCTGCCCACTGCCCCTCACTGGCAGCACGCAGGCAGCCCAGCCCTGTGGGGACTGGCCCCTGAGGGGCAGGGGGAAGCATGGCAGCACGCTGGGGGGCTGGCAGGGGCCAGGGCTGGCAAAGGGAGCAGCCAGAGGGCCCTGGAATTCTCTGTTGGTCAGACACCTGGGACAGGCTGTACAGGCTGAAGGGCTGCTGAGCCTTGTGGACACGTGGGCCCCGTACCTGTCACACACTGGGGCCACACGCAGGAGAGCCATCACCACGTCAGAGGGCTGTGCCTCTGTCAGATCCAGAAGGGGCCTGTACAGATTGTACTCAGGAAACTCATTGGCCACCAGCCACTGGTGGATGTACCTCACCATGGCAGGCACCTGGAGAAGGCAGGGGAGACTTGGAAAGCTGCCAGAGGAAGGAATGTGCCCAGCTGCCCCAGAGAAGTGCTTCCCTTGCCAACACACTGCCATGGCCTCAAAGGCTTCCAGGGAGCAGCAGGCGTGGCTTGGGAGGCCACGCAACTGCTGGGAGGAGAAAAGCCAGGCCACAGGCTGCTCACTTGCTTTGGGCTGGAAGGACCCTCCTGCACAAGCATATCCAGCAGGGCAGCACTGGTCTTGGTTTTGAAGATGGGAGAGTACGCTCTGACCACAGTGCTCACGATGCTGCTCTCTTCCTCCCGAATCCTCTTCATGAATTTGCAAACCATCTGTAGCAGAAGGGCAAGAAGCCCGGGATGTTGCATGGAGTGCTCCGAGCACAGTGCTGGGCTGAGCAGTGCCAGCAGGCCCAGCCCAGGTGGGGATGGCTGCAGGTACCTGCGCTGTTCTGCGGAAGCGGCCACGGGTGCGTTCCTGCTCTCGTGTGCGCTGCACGGCTGCACCTGGCAAAGAGCGAGCGCAGCCCGAGCTGAGGGGCTGCGGGAGAGGCCGGAGAACACAGCCCAGCCCTGCGCTGCCCAGGCAGGGACAGCCCCGGGACACCCCAGGGCATGGAGCACGGCTGTGGGGTGTCTGCCCAGCCCCTATTCCATCCTGTCCATGGGCATGGCCCCAGGGGATGGGATGGGATGGGATGGGATGGGATGGGATGGGATGGGATGGGATGGGATGGGATGGGATGGCATGGCATGGCATGGCATGGCATGGCATGGCATGGCATGGCATGGCATGGCATGGGGCCAAGCTGGCTGCAGGCACCAGCCCTGTGGCCCAGCTCTGCCACTCACCCTTCAGCAGTGGCTGGAACTGCTCCACCTCTTCAGGCTGCTGTGCTGGGGCAGCTCCAGGGCCTTCTTTCTCCTCCTTCCCGCAGGCCAGCTTGGGCACGCTCGCAGGTCTGTGCTCTGCGTCACTGCCTGGATTCATGGCTACTTGATGAAGGTGAAAAGGAAAAGGTCCGAGTCAGCAAGTGCTGCAGTCGTGCCTTGAGGGCACCTGCAAGAATGAAGTCTTGGCAAGGCTACAGGACAGCAAATCCTGCACTCTGGTCTTGGGGGCTCCAGCCACAAGGACAGGAGACTCCTGTCAAGGAAAGTGCAAAGCAAATGCCACGGTCTGCCCTTGAGGGCAGCTGCAGAAGAGATGCCTTGGGAAGGCCAGGGGTCACCAAGTGCTCTGGTCTGGCCACAAGCTCACCTGCAGAAGTAATACCTCGGGAAATCTCCAAGTCACCAAGGAACGCTCTCTCCGTCCTGTCTCGTCGCGTGCACAGAGCACTGTGGAGTGGCCTTGTCACTGCCAACACCTATGCCACAGCATGTCACAAATGGCCCTTGGATACCCTGTCCCATTCCATTCCACGGTGACCATGCTGCACCGTGTCACAAAGGGCCCTTGGATACCCTGTCCCGTTCCATTCCACGGTGACCATGCTGCACCGTGTCACAAAGGGCCCTTGGATACCCTGTCCCGTTCCATGCCACGGTGACCATGCTGCACCGTGTCACAAAGGGCCCTTGCACACTCTGCCACCTGCACTGGGGCCACCCCCGGCCCCCCAGAGTGGCCCAGGTTGGAAGGAATGCCTTGCCCCAGGTGTGTCAGACAGCCCAACAGGATCTTTAGGAACGGCTCAGACCATCAGCAAACGCTGCCCTGCTCTGCGGGCTCAGAGCAGCAGGAGCCCCCAGGGCTGCCGACGCAGCCGCGGCGGGAAGGGCACGGGGCCCTGCACAGAAGCTGGCACGGCCTCCTCGGGACACGTCCCACATGGTGGCCATCCTAAGCACGGCCGTGTGACACAGACCAGGAACGTGTGGGCCAGGGCAGGAATGCTGCTCTCACCCTGGGGCCCGGGGAGCGCTGACATCAGCCGCTGAGGCACAGTCCCCGCCGAAGCAGAGCTCCCCCGAGCCCTGGCAGCACCGGTGCCCGTCTGCTGCCCCAGAAACCTGTGCCCCAAAAGGGCTTCTCTGCCAGAGGGCAGCCAAAGCTGGTGTGTGTTGCAGCATTTTTCAGAGAAAGAGGACATGAGTTATGAGATTTGAGCTACTCCAGTCTAGGCCTCAGATTTGGGCCTTGTGAGGCCTTCAAGCCTCTGACGCAGTTAGAAATTCAGAGCTTGTGGCGCAGATAGAAATAGTATTAAGGTGTGACGGGGACCACTGGGCTGTCTGGGTGTGAATTAGTATACGTTTATAGTGTAAGGCTCAAGCCACTTTAAGGAAAAGGTAAACATTGTTAGCCTAGCAATCAGAGTGCCTTTGTTTCTGTAAACTATGTAGAAGCTTATATAAACTACCATCTTATCTTGAATAAACGGAGAACGTTTGATTAACCACATTGGTTCAGATCTGTGTTTGTTTTTATCTCTGTTACTGATTTTCTGGATCCTTCAGATATGTCCCTGTTCATTTGTTCAGATGCATCTGAGCTACTTTTCCAAATTGTCATGGCTGGTTGTAGAGGCACTTCTCCAGAGCAATGAGTTGCCTTATTAAAAGACACACACGTCCCATATGAGGAGGCATTTAAACTTGGAAGTAGCGTCTCTCTTTCCCCACAAAGCAATGTGACCTGTGTGCCTTGGAAGCCATCTGAAGATAGATCAGATGCATCTCATCCTTGGTTTTCCTGAGTGAGCAGTGTGAGAATGTCACTTGCAGATTGTCTCCCATAATGATTGTCACAAGGTTCACATTGTTCTTCAGAGCCTCATTATTTTCTAGCTTGAAATCACATCATTAGGAAAGCTCCTCAAGATATTTGCTCACATTTCACTGAAGGTATCATCACCAACAGGTTCTAATTTGGTTTTGTTTTCCAGGGTGGAGTCTACTTCTGATGGACGCCTATTACACCGTGCGAAAGCCCAGGTCACGTTACCTGCAGCTGTGGAAGAGATGGATATGCTCCAGAAGCTTTACCACCTCCTGCAAGCCAAGGGGTTTCAGGCACGGCTGGAAGGAGTGGCACTCCTCCTAGAGCTGTGCAAAAGCAGCCCCCAGCTAATCTCCAAGAACATTGTCCAAGTATGTAGGGTATTTTCTTTCTTCCCTTCCTTTAGCTCCTTTCCCAAGCCTGTAGGGTAAAGGTAATTCAGTGTGTCTTGGCACAACATCCTGGCTGTTTGGGACAGGCTGGTCCCTCTTACCCAGACAAATTTAATTCAGGCCCAGGCTTCAGGACAAGTTATTTCAGTCCAGCTGTATTTGTCTGGCAGGTGCCTATTGAGGCTGTTCATCAGATGATGACAGAATTTTCTTCTGGTGTAACTGCTGCTGTCTCCTACTCCCAGTTGGGTTAATTGAAGGGAATCCAGCCACTGAAAGCATGGCAATTATTATCCAGATTAAAAATGGGTTTGCATGGGGAACAGAAGTATCAGGCTGGGTTGGTTTAAACCCAGGATTTTTTGAACAATACATCTGTAAACTCCATCTTGTCTTACACAGGCACAACTCTGGCTACTCATTTCCATCCTTGTCCCTATTCCTCTTGGTAAAGACAGTTCTCAGCCTTCTTGGGGAGCCTTTTTTCTCTTTGGAAAAGGAGGAAAACAGCTAAGGACAGATCTCTGCCTTCTCCTCCCAGTAGTTGCTTTTTCCCTTTTTCCAGAAAATGTGCCTGATAATGTGGCTGTCAAGGGGACTGAACCTGCTCTAATGAGATCTGTACAGCACATGGCATTTCAGAAGTCCACCTTTTACTTAGAGAGATGGTCTGGATCCTGGAGGGGTTGATCAGAGCCCTGCACTTCTCCAGACACAGATTTTGAGACAAACAAAATAAAACTTAGATCTCCTCCAGCCATAGTTTTGGAAAAATCATAATTGCCCTCAGTATTTGAGGCAACTGTATAGAAAAATGGGCATTGTAAATATCTGCTTCCATACTTGTAAAGCAAAGGTAGCCTTTTGCATTAATAAATAGAATTGATTTAATGATTCATAGACGGAGAGAAATGCCATAGGAACTATTCTGTCCCCAACCAAAACACTTAAAAACAGAAGAAAATCATTCAAGCAGCATGAGGTTGCACAACCATTCCAGTGAGTGGCCCACAGGAAAACAGTGAAATTGTGCAAGCAAGTGCTGACCTGAGAGAAAGGATCTCCTGAGTGCTGCATCCACACTTCAAACAAGGACATTTTAATCCAGCTTTCATGTTGTTTGTTCTCTTCACAGATTTTTGATTATTTTGTCCTGAGAATATGTGACAGCCACAAGAAAGTGAGGCAGAAGGCGCTGGACGTGCTGGCTGAAATCATAGGCCTCCTGGATGATGCCATGAACCCTGTGATGATCCGCTTGGTAGAAGGAATAGCAAAGAACCTGAGCTCAAATGATCCCGGGGTTCATGCTGCAGCTGTGAGAGCGCTGGAAGAATCCGTTGCTCATTTAGGTGAGGCTGAGCCCTGGCAGGGACTCCCCTCAACTGCGTCTCCATCTGTCCTACACAAGAGAACACTGAGTGCATTGACAGCTGCTGTTGTCTGTGGAATGCTCCAGCTGACACCCACCAGAAGCTGTGGAGGTGCAGCCCTTATGCACCAGTCCCCCAACAGGCTTGCATGTGATCAGCATTTCCCAAAAGTCCCAGGAGCCCTTGGCTCTGTGCTGCCTGTCTGAAGAGCAAGTCCTGGACTACAGCTTTGCTACAATTCAGGGGCAAAGGGGTTTTGGAGTTTGCTTGGGCCCCGTTTGACTTCCCAAAAGAACAGCTTGGCTGTTGGCATGAAGGGACACTGGCCCATCAGAGCTTCTGCACAGCAGCCACCTGGAAGGCTCTACATTATAGGCATTAGCTGCCTATTTTCTCTTTTTCTTCTTTGTCTTCTTTTTTCAAAGGGGAACTTACAATTCACCAAGTTCATTTCTTTATAACAAACAAGTCTAAATCCAGCTGTCAATGGTGCCTTGTTCCACATATTGTTTTGCATGGGGCAAGACTGCTCTAGCAAATACCTACATGGGCACTGGCTGCTCAAAATTCCTTTGCCATGCAGATTTATGTCAGCTCTGAAAATGGCTGAAAAATTGAGTGTTGAAGAGGTCTCCAAGGGGCATTTCCACTTTCTCCACCTCAGCTGCTCTGTGACTCAGGAACTGCCTGAGTCAGCGCCTTTCTGTGTCCCAAGGATGGAGTTCTTCCTTTTTGCTGTGGGATACAAACCCTTTTCACTGCTTACATGTGACTGAACTCTTGAGATCCCTGATGTGAAATGTTTTAACAAAGCTCCTGGTACAGAAGACAAGCTTGGATTTACAAATGTGAAAGGAGAGCTTTTCTTTTGGGATTTTAAACCCTGCCAAGTAGGCTGGAAGGAAAGATGAAAAGGGTTCAAAAATCAGCAGAAATTTACTTTCTTGTATAAAATGGAGTTGCTCCTGCCCTTTCCCTCCTCACTGTCCTTTCTCCTATGACCTCAGAAGAGTGAGCAAAAACATGTGTTTCACTTGTAGATAAAGTATCACTGATGAAAGAATTCAGCCACCAATGGAGCCAACTGAGCGGCCAAGCTCTGCTGGATGTCGCAGAGTGTATCGCAGGTATGGCCTCCAAATATACTGCTGGTAGTAAATTTTTGTCTGTGTTTGATATAGTTCAGTTCAGAAAATGAGCAGAGAGATTTCAGAAACAATGTGAGAAAAATACTTGTGTTTTGGTTAAATTTCAATCTGCTGTGTAGCATTTTTCTCTCTCTATGCCCGTATTTCAGTGGACATTATAAGAAAAAATGCCATTAACACTGGGAGAGGAAATGCCATTAAAATGTGGAGATGCCCAAATGCCACGGCAATGGGGTCTGGGTAATTAAGACACGCTGAAGTTTGAAACAGCTCTGTGTTGGGAGCTACAAAAACATTCTGCCAAAGACACCAGCTAGTCACTGATGTTTCTAATCCAGCTGTCGAGCAGCAGCCATCTCTGGTGGGCTGGAGCTTTGAAGTGTGTTCTAATACTGCCCTTTGCTGTGTGCCACTGAGCAAAGGGAAGAGTCAGATTAGACTTTTGGCACTTGAAATCAAAGTCACAGACATGGAGTCACCCCTTTTACTAGAAATCTTTCAATTGCCTCTCTAGGGTGCATTTCCAAATCTTCAGTGTGGGTTTAGACAACTCCTTAATGGGAATAAAATGCAATTTGACATTTCAGTCATTGTTCATGCAGAAACAGATTGTGAAATAATTTAGTAAAGGTACAAAGTCTGCCATAGGTACAAGGCTCTGGTTGGAGAAATTAGTCCTGAGGGGTTGGTGGTTCTGTTTCAAGGACCACCAGCTGCTTTGCCCGTTTCTGGATCATGGGGCTCCATGTGCTATTTCACTGATCTTAGCCAGAGAGCCTTCCAAGAAGCAAAAGCAGAGGTAGATCCTTGTTTGCATGGAGCTTGGTGGGTAAGAAGCTGTGCCTCTCTCCCGGCAGAGCTCGTGGAGTGGGTTTATGCCAGGAGCCCTGAAGTCGTCCAGCGCTATGCCCTGCCCGTGCTCTGGTCCTTCCTGGACAACAAAGCGCTGCCTGTCCGCAGTGCCAACATCCGCACTGTGGCCACCAAGCTTGCCCTGGCCCTCTACGAGGCGATGGGCAACAAGCTGAAGAAATGTGCAGCCAGCAAGCCTCCACACATGCGGGAGAACCTCTCCAACATTTTGTACTGGTGAAGGCAGGATGTTCTCCAGGAAGATGACCAAGTGCTGAGTTGGACACCTCCAGATTTGACTTCTTAGCTGTGCCAAAAATGACAAAACACTAAGGAAGGGTGTGCATCGGCCCCCGCTCTCTCCATCGCCCTTCCTAGTCATGACATGGGGGGCCTGAAGAAACTCCAGACTGAAGACAAGGTGAAGGCTGAGCATGGATCAGCCTCACACAGAGGTGAGGGGGGAGCTGGGCCGCTCTCTGGAGGGAGGAAGGGTCCTGTGGCAGCCCAGAGAGCCTGTGCACATTGCCAGGGAACAGCTGTGCCCCCATGTGCCCCTGCAATGAGCTGTGCTCTGCCAGAGCCCCTGGAGCTGTAGGGCTGCTCAGCCGTGGGGCAGGGAGAGGAGCAGGAGGGTGCATGTGCAGCTGAGCATGGAAAGCACAGGGCTCTGGGCTCCTGCTGTCCCAGGGCAGCCCAGAGGCCAGGCTGTTCCTGTGGCAGCCCTGTGCAAGTGGGTCAGGGTTTTCCCCTGGCCTGCCTCAAGTGTCTGCCGGCAGGAACATGTTTCCCTGTGCAGCTGTTTAGAAGTTGGCAGGAAATGTGTCCCATGAAATCTAGAGCTCAAGCTGCTTTAGGTTTGCATTGTGGCATCTGTTAAAACTTTGTGTCTTCACTTTGCAGACCTGACTGGCTATCCTCTTACCAAGAGGTTTTTTCTGGACACTTCTGATTGTCTCTTACCCGCAAAGTCCTTGCTTCCCATCCAGAAGAGCGCTCATCCCTCCAAGCTCAGGAAGAAGCTGCCGCCTGCCTGAAGAGTAGTTGAAGAATAGGATTTATGCATTAGTCTTCATAGATACAGATATACATATGTTCTGATATTTAGATGTAGTTTTGATTAAATGTATTTTGATTGTATCTTGAAATTTTATGACATATTTTTAAGTGTATATATTTTAGTTTTATGATTAAAAAAAAGGTAAATAAATAAATAAACTTTAAATAAGCCAAGCGGAGAATGTGAGACCCAGACCTATTTAGCCTAGAGGTTATGGGAGTGCAGCTCACTCGATGTGCCAGTGTCTCACCACATCCTTTCATCACTGGGCCTCTCCTCTTCCTCTTTTGACATGTTTTCTTTGTGTCATTTGTGCTGCTCTTTGTCATTTGACATTACAACTCAGCCACCCATTGACATGTCTGGGGGACAATGGACCCACAAGATCCTGTATAGTCAAAAGTTTTCCATGTAGATGTATTCTGTGCTCACAAAAGGCCTGAGCAAAGAAATCAAGAGGAGTGTGCCCAAATCCCAAAGCTTTGCTCCTTTGCAACGTGACACAGATCTGGCTCACGGGTGTTTTTAATCACAATTTCATAGGTATGAAGAGGACATGAGAAAAGATGCACTGCTTTGGAAAAATCATCTGTATGTATATTTACCCAGGACAGCAGTACAACTGTGTTGTTTGCAACCTGTTTGCAGAAGGATGATTGGACTGTGAGGCCAATAACAAGTGACAAGGGTTCCTCAAATCTTTTTACACTCCAGCCTGGGTGCCATTCAGACCACAGTTATAGGATAATACTGTAGTACATCCCACACACATTCTGCCTCCAATAAAAGCTTGGCTTGTCTTATTAGAGTGAAATAAATAGAAGAGTAATAAAATGAACAGTTACACTCGTCACTTTGGAATGACTCTCCTGCTTTCCAGTGTCAACCCTGCACCTCATGCTCCCAAGGCTTGTTACAAACAAGTGTCCGAGATTGCTTAAAAATTCTTTGGCAAGGTTCAGTAAAAGCCAGATTGAATATTGAGCAACAGCTCAACAAAATTCAATGGCAGCACTCACACTATTACTTACTAGTCGATTAAGGCACAACAAGGAAAAAAAGTAACAAAATACAGTCAATCAAACAAGAAATGTACTGAGAACTATACGTGTGTGTGTGTGTGTGTGTGTGTGTGTGTGTGTGTGTGTGTGTGTGTTTGTGTGCATTTGAGAAGGGGACAGAAAGAGCAAGGATCCAAAGGAATACCACCTAAAAGCTTAACAGCACTCAAGCTTAACTCCAGGTCAGCTGGAGCCTCCAGGAGTGGGGCTGTTGGCCCAGGATCCATTGTTGATGGGTGATCCTGCCAGAGCAGCAAACCTGCGAGCTCGCTGGCTCTGAGAGGCCCCACGCAGAGGGAGGCTGCTGCTGGCAGCCGCTGTGCTCCAGGAGAGCTCCAAGGGCCTCCTTTTGGAGCGCTGATTATAAAATAAAATGCTTCACCATGGCTGCACTTTGGGTCAGCAGCCTGCCTTTGAAAGTGGGAGAAGAAGGATGTCGTGCCACTGAGGCCAGAAAAGTGGTTTCCAAGGCTGTTCACAGAACAGCCCAGGATCTCGTTAGACAGCACAAGTTCCTGGAGCACTCAATGTTTCTGAAAAGCTCCAGAGGAGCTGGGTCCAGGGGCTGTTCAGCAAGGCCGAGGCCTGACAAGCCTTTCTCAAATCACTGTGTGGCCTGACAAGGCCGGGGGGATTCACCACCACAATCTGAAACATGAAGTTTTGATGTAGGGTAAAAAGCCACGGCCCAGTGGAAGTGGGTCATGTCCTCAGGCCTGTGGGAGAATCACAATGCAGATCCTTGTGGTAGTGATTCCATTTCTCCCCACTTTTCTAAATTCTTGGTGGCAAGGTCACTTAGGTTAGACACCCAGCTCACAAGCAGTGCTCCTGAAGTTTTCTGCACAATGAATTAAAATGAGAATCCTGTCACATCCAAAAATTGTGTTCTGTTGTGGTTTAATTACTGTTTTGAAGAATTTCTAGAGCAGCAAATTTGCTTCCTCAAATATTTACTGTGCATGGCATGGAGCACGGAGGAAAGATTTAATGTTAAAAGCATCACCCTGGCAATGTTCTTTTGACAGGTTTTGCCCTGAGCTTTCCTTAGGATTATCTGAAAGATTCAATGTCACTAGCAGAAGCTCCTGCAATGGCTGCTGGCCAGCAGAGAGGGCTGTCAGCTGTAAAACAAGTGTTGCCACAAGCAGCAGCTTACCCAGGGCAGCAAATCAAGAGCTGGGAAGGAGCTCATCTGAAGGCCAAACCTCTTTTGGTCCTTCTAAAAGGCTGGAACAGTTCCTCGTTCCAATGAGGCGGATGCTGGACACCACAGCTCTGTGTGAGGACTGGACACAAGTCTGCTCCCACTGAGCGCTGTGATGGTTTCTGCAGGAGCTCTGGGCTCCTGCGTGTGGTGACACAATGAGGAGTCAAGGAGCCAAGTGCACTCCTCAAATTCCAAATGGTGCAGGATGTCTCCCAGACCCAACCTGCCACCACCTACAACTCGAGCTGCCCTGGCAGTGCCAAATGCCTCTTACAAACTGACATCAGGAAACTGGGGGGTGAGTGTTGTTTCCCATGGGAAAGGGCTGGCGTTCATTCATGTCCATGGGCCTGCAACTGGAGCTGGTGCTGCATCTTTCACATTGCTTTAACCCCCCTGCCAAGTGCTATCTGTGGCTGAGAAAGGACACAAAAGGATTAACATGACACAGAAGTCTTCCTTTCACTTATTTCCTCTGTGTTAATGAAACCCATCTAATTATCTGGACCTAGGATGGAAGACTCCAGATATAATCTCAAGATGGAAAAGCTAACTGTATTTTGTCATATGCTGCAAAACAGCATATAACTAAAAATATTGAGGATGGATGAAGGCAAGTACTTTAAATCTAACATTCAATGTGGTTTCAAGCACAGAAAGTTGTTAGTTGTAAGCCAAACCATGCTGGCCTCTGAGAAAGGACCTTCCTCTTCCACTCATCTGTGAAGTATTTCAGATATTCAGGAAAAATATTATTTTTTGGAGTGAAATGCACTATTGTGCAGGGACAACCATTCTTTCAGAAATGCAGCCTACTTATTCACAGAATCATGTGTTTCCAAAAGCCTTGTGACTCAATTTTTTTGACACACTATTAGCTTTGTAATGAGAAAGCAAGCATGGTCTTACAGTAATCACAAGTTCTGTATGACAGTGTCTATCTACAGATACAACTAAAGGAAGGTGTGTCGCCCTGATTCTTGAGTTTTCTAAAGCCTTCTGAGTTTACATTCTATTGGAAAACTTTCCCACACAGTTTCTATAAATAACATATTGTTTTGAATTCCTTCATGGGAGTGGAGAAAGTTGATGTACTAGTAGTTTGTCCAATGTCTTTGGAGAGGTGGCCCATTCACTCTCCAATCCACTGTCACCTTTGGAGAAGTATAAAAGTTGGAGTCAGAAAATAAACTTTCTCTTTTACCTTGCAAAGTGGCAAGTGGCTCGCGTTGTGCTTTCTCGTGTCCTATAGCAACAAAGGTGCACTAGTACACCAAATTTTACAGCACAGTATCCAGGCTCTAATATCTAAAAAACAAAGCTTTGGGCAAAACTTGCATGACCTTAAAGGTCATTGCAACATTTACAATGTCTGCTATATCAGAGGTTATGCTAGGAATTTTATTGAGGTTATTTGCCTCTATAAAGGCCCAAAGATTGGATTCCTAAGCACCTGTGATATGCTACAATCAACTGCCAAAATAATGATTTAATTTTACAGCATATTAGTATTACATAACCAAGTATAATTGTCGCTGTTGAGACAGGACAGGAACAGAGAAACTCCAAGTCAGAAGGCTGAAAGAACTAAACTCAACAACTGTATTTCAAATAGAGAACATCCTGCAGACCAATTTCATTGGCCTTAAAGTAAAAACATCTCACCCCATTGCTGCGTGCTGAATGGCACACGGTGGCAGAACATATCTATAAACAAAGTACAAGAAAGACGCAAAAGCACAAGGAAACATGACAGTGTTTCGGTAGATTCTCTTTGTCCTGTGAAGTTGAGTAGCTGTTGGTGTTTCTGTGCTGCTGCTAATCCCTTCCATGAAAAAATCATTCCGGGAAGGAGCAACAACATCTGACACGCACCAAGTGTTGCCACCAGTTGCTCCAGGTGCTGCTACCAACAGCCCCTGTAGGACGGAGCACAGCCCCCAGTGCACACCAAAAGCCAGGGAATCTCAGGAAAACGGGAAACTGGACAAGACAAACACAGATCTGAACCAATGTGGTTAATCAAACGTTCTCCGTTTATTCGAGATAAGATGGTAGTTTATATAAGCTTCTACATAGTTTACAGAAACAAAGGCACTCTGATTGCTAGGCTAACAATGTTTACCTTTTCCTTAAAGTGGCTTGAGCCTTACACTATAAACGTATACTAATTCACACCCAGACAGCCCAGTGGTCCCCGTCACACCTTAATACTATTTCTATCTGCGCCACAAGCTCTGAATTTCTAACTGCGTCAGAGGCTTGAAGGCCTCACAAGGCCCAAATCTGAGGCCTAGACTGGAGTAGCTCAAATCTCATAACTCATGTCCTCTTTCTCTGAAAAATGCTGCAACACACACCAGCTTTGGCTGCCCTCTGGCAGAGAAGCCCTTTTGGGGCACAGGTTTCTGGGGCAGCAGACGGGCACCGGTGCTGCCAGGGCTCGGGGGAACTCTGCTTCGGCGGGGACTGTGCCTCAGCGGCTGATGTCAGCGCTCCCCGGGCCCCAGGGTCAGAGCAGCATTCCTGCCCTGGCCCACACGTTCCTGGTCTGTGTCACACGGCCGTGCTTAGGATGGCCACCATGTGGGACGTGTCCCGAGGAGGCCGTGCCAGCTTCTGTGCAGGGCCCCGTGCCCTTCCCGCCGCGGCTGCGTCGGCAGCCCTGGGGGCTCCTGCTGCTCTGAGCCCGCAGAGCAGGGCAGCGTTTGCTGATGGTCTGAGCCGTTCCTAAAGATCCTGTTGGGCTGTCTGACACACCTGGGGCAAGGCATTCCTTCCCACCTGGGCCACTCTGGGGGGCTGGGGGTGGCCCCAGGGCAGGTGGCAGTGCGTGCAAGGGCCCTTTGTGACACGGTGCAGCATGGTCACCGTGGAATGGAACGGGACAGGGTATCCAAGGGCCCTTTGTGACATGGTGCAGCATGGTCACCGTGGAATGGAACAGGACAGGGTATCCAAGGGCCCTTTGTGACACGGTGCAGCATGGCCACCGTGGAATGGAACGGGATAGGGTATCCAAGGGCCCTTTGTGACATGCTGTGGCAAAGGTGTTGGCAGTGACAAGGCCACTCCACAGTGCTCTGTGCACGCGACGAGACAGGACGGAGAGAGCGGTGCTGTAAGGAGCCTTGGCACAGCCACTCGTTCCTTGCTGACCTGGAGCTTTCCCGAGGTATTACTCCTGCAGGTGAGCTTGTGGCCAGACCAGAGCACTTGGTGACCCCTGGCCTTCCCAAGGCATCTCTTCTGCAGCTGCCCTCGAGGGCAGACCGTGGCATTTGCTTTGCACTGTCCTTGACAGGAGTCTCCTGTCCTTGTGGCTGGAGCCCCCAAGACCAGAGTGCAGGATTTGCTGTCCTGTAGCCTTGCCAAGACTTCACTCTTGCAGGTGCCCTCAAGGCACGACTGCAGCACTTGCTGACTCGGACCTTTTCCTTTTCACCTTCTGCAAGTAGCCATGAATCCAGGCAGTGACGCAGAGCACAGACCTGCGAGCGTGCCCAAGCTGGCCTGGGGGAAGGAGGAGAAAGAAGGCCCTGGAGCTGCCCCAGCACAGCAGCCTGAAGAGGTGGAGCAGTTCCAGCCACTGCAGAAGGGTGAGTGGCAGAGCTGGGCCACAGGGCTGGTGCCTGCAGCCAGCTTGGCCCCATGCCATGCCATGCCATGCCATGCCATGCCATGCCATGCCATGCCATGCCATGCCATCCCATGCCATGCCATGCCATGCCATGCCATGCCATGCCATGCCATCCCATGCCATGCCATCCCATCCCATCCCATCCCATCCCATCCCATCCCCTGGGGCCATGCCCATGGACAGGATGGAATAGGGGCCGGGCAGACACCCCACAGCCGTGCTCCATGCCCTGGGGCGGCGCGGGGCTGTCCCTGCCTGGGCAGCGCAGGGCTGGGCTGTGTTCTCCGGCCTCTCCCGCAGCCCCTCAGCTCGGGCTGCGCTCGCTCTTTGCCAGGTGCAGCCGTGCAGCGCACACGAGAGCAGGAACGCACCCGTGGCCGCTTCCGCAGAACAGCGCAGGTACCTGCAGCCATCCCCACCTGGGCTGGGCCTGCTGGCACTGCTCAGCCCAGCACTGTGCTCGGAGCACTCCATGCAACATCCCGGGCTTCTTGCCCTTCTGCTACAGATGGTTTGCAAATTCATGAAGAGGATTCGGGAGGAAGAGAGCAGCGTCGTGGGCACTGTGGTCAGAGCGTACTCTCCCATCTTCAAAACCAAGGCCAGTGCTGCCCTGCTGGATATGCTTGTGGAGGAGGGTCCTTCCAGCCCAAAGCAAGTGAGCAGCCTGTGGCCTGGCTTTTCTCCTCCCAGCAGTTGCGTGGCCTCCCAAGCCACGCCTGCTGCTCCCTGGAAGCCTTTGAGGCCATGGCAGTGTGGTGGCAAGGGAAGCACTTCTCTGGGGCAGCTGGGCACATTCCTTCCTCTGGCAGCTTTCCAAGTCTCCCCTGCCTTCTCCAGGTGCCGGCCATGGTGAGGTACATCCACCAGTGGCTGGTGGCCAATGAGTTTCCTGAGTACAATCTGTACAGGCCCCTTCTGGATCTGACAGAGGCACAGCCCTGTGACGTGGTGATGGCTCTCCTGCGTGTGGCCCCAGTGTGTGACAGGTACGGGGCCCACGTGTCCACAAGGCTCAGCAGCCCTTCACCCTGTACAGCCTGTCCCAGGTGTCTGACCAACAGAGAATTCCAGGGCCCTCTGGCTGCTCCCTTTGCCAGCCCTGGCCCCTGCCAGCCCCCCAGCGTGCTGCCATGCTTCCCCCCTGCCCCTCAGGGGCCAGTCCCCACAGGGCTGGGCTGCCTGCGTGCTGCCAGTGAGGGGCAGTGGGCAGAGGCAGGGCTGGCAGAGCAGCTCAGCTCCCCGCTGCCACCCAGGCCACGCTGCTGTGTCCCAGACTCCTCTGAGACAGAGCTCTGACCCCACAGAGCTGCTTTGGCCATGTGGAAGAGCATCATGTGCTCGCCCAGGACTGCAGAGCCGGCCATGCTCGTACTCCTCGAGGTGCTGGGGAGCTGGCCAGAGCACAGCACGTGCACCTCCGATGGGGACCACACGGCTGTCCTTGCCCTGGCTGTGAGTTTCTGCCTTTGCTGGCCCCAAGGCCACCCCTCCAGCAGCTCTCCATCCTCCCTCCCCCACGGCGTCTCCCTGCCTCAGGCGCTGGGCTGAAACCTGGCCTCGGGGCAGCTTCAGGGCCACCAGGCCCGGTGCTCCCCCTTCGGTGCTCCCCCTGCGTCTCTCCGGGCCTCTCCCTCCCGTACTGGGCCCTGCCACACGGACACCTCGGCACTGAGCGCTGTCTCGGGCTGCTCTGTCCTTTGCAGGCAACCGTGGTGATGTGGAAGATCCTCCAGCTGCCCTGTGTGCCACATGTAGTCACCGTGTGTTTCCCCTGCCTCTTTGTGCATCTGCTCTTCCAAGTGCTCTTCAGCACTCTGGATATGCCAGAGGAGGTCGATACCTTCTGGAAGGGATGCCAGCAGCAACACGGCCTTGCCACCAACCCCAGCAGGTGCTCCATGCCAGTCCTCCTGTCCTTGCCACATCCCTGGGCAGGGGCCAGTGCCCCCAGCGTGACCTGGGCTTTGCTCTGCGCACAGCTTTGCAGAGCAGACCCTGAAGGCCCTGCTCTGCCGACTGCACTATGAGGATGTGGTGGTGGCCATGGAAGACAAGGGTGGCTGGGACACACTGCTCTGTGCTGACACCCACCACTGTGCTGTGGGCGTGCTGGCCAGGTGAGACCCCCTGCTCCCCAGCTGTCCCCGGCATGTGTGCCCTGTGCCCCAGGTGCCCCACACAGTCCCCGTGGCCGTGGGCCAGAAGCCCTTGTCACCAAGGGACGGCCAAGGAGGCTGCAAAAGGCTGGGAGAGGAGCGTGCCCAAGAGCAGCAACCTCCCAGAGGGCTCAGCTGCCCCTTGCAGGGTGCTGGAGAAAGGCCAGACCTCTGGGAGGCAGTCCTGGGAGAGGTTTGCCCCCGCTGGCTCAGGGGTTTGGCTCCTATTTCCTCCTGTCAGAGAAATGCGCCGCGCATCCGAAGCCGTGTGTTCCGCGATTGCATTCCAGCTGCTCGGGCTGCTCAGCAAAGACACGCCATGCCGGGATTTGGCCGCCCTGGCGTTCCTTGTGGAGGTGAGCCTGAAGGCCAGCGCTGCCTCGCTGAGCTGCCTCCCGGCTCTCTGCCCTCTCTTGGCCGCAGTGCCTGGGACGGAGCCCGCGCCCTGTGCTGCTGCCTGGGCCCGGCCCTGTGCGGTTCTGGGCTCCCGCCGGCCGCTCCCCCGTCACTGCCCTGTGCCTTTCAGGTCCTGGAGCGCCTGAACCTGAGTGAATGCCGTGACAGCGTCCTGGAGTTCTTGTCAAAGAACCTGCAGAGCGAGTGCAGGGGGAGGCGTCGCTTGGCACTCAGAGGCCTCGTGGTGCTCGGCACCACCAGTGCCTCGGTGAGAAGAGCGCAGGGGCTGAAGCCGTGCTGCCAGCGTGGGGCTGGGGAAGGCAGTCCCTGGGGCTCGGCTGGCCTTGGGGCACTGAGGCAGCTGCTGCCAGCTCTCCTGCCTCCTGCTGCAGCTGCCCGAGTGCTTTGGCACAGGCCTTTGGCCCCTGGGCCCTGTGGCAGCAGGATGGTGTTTCACACACTTGTGTTCCACAAGTAGATGGCCAGAAGGATGTGGAGCCTGCATGAAAGGCTCGTGGAGCTCCTGCAGGAAAATGACGGCGTCATGCTCAGGATGACCACGGTTCTCCTCAGAGCTGTATTTCTCTGCAATGGTGCCCCAATAACCAGCGCCCTCGCCCTGCAGCTGGCTGAGGCGCTCCTGCCACTCTTTGACAACGTAAGGCTCTGCGCCTCCAGCCACGGCCAGCGGGTGCTACCCGCACACTTTGTGCCCTGTGCACTTACAGGCTGTGCCCAGCTGGGCCTGAAGCAGCTGACGCTGAGGTCTTTCTTCCTTCCTTTCATACAGGAGGATAGCCAGGTGCAGTTGAGCTCCATGTTTATCTTCCGAGACATGCTGGATCGTTTTCCGGAAGAGGAAAAAAAGGCCCTGAAGGCACACGTGCGCCAGAGCCTGCTGCCACTCTCCTTCCACTGCCATGATGAGAACCAGCGAGTGGCAGAGGTGAGGACTCGGCAGCTGCTGCTGTTCCCCTGGCAGGGGCTGGGCTGCCCCTGCCCTGGCACCTCGCAGGCTGCAGCCTCCTCCAGGCCCTGGCACAGGGACGGGTCCTGTGCCCTGGGCTGTGGGGCCATCTCCGCGTCTCTGCTGCTCTCCAGGCTTCTCAGGAAACGCTGCTTTGTGCGGCCGAGTTCCTGAAGCAGAGGGATCTCGAAAAGCTGCTGAAGAACCAGAAGCTGTGGAAGTTCACCGAGTGCCTGGTAAGGAGGGCCGGGAAGCCGCAGCCCCAGCCTGGAGAAGCCCCCTGAGCGCGGTGCTCGGTGTGCGGGCTGGCAGCTGTGCCCCTGCCCGCTGCTGCAGCCCGAGGCCGCGCGGGCTCTGCTCCAGGCTCCTGCGGCCCGAGCCGGGTGCCCATGGAGCCCCGGCCCGGCGGGGCTGCGGGGCCAACCCTTCCCTCCTGCCGCTCTCTGCAGCTGGCAGAGGACAGCAGCAGCGTGGCCGAGCACCTGCGCCGGGCCCTGCCCTACCTGCAGAGCCCACAGGAGCCCCTGCGAGAGGCGGCCGTCAGGTTCATGGGTGAGCCACGAGCCGGGCCAGGAGGCCGTGTGGGCACAGGGCTGGCAGCGCCGCTGGCAGGGAGCTGTGCCGCCGGGCCTGACAGGCTCTGTGTTCCCAGGGACGGCCGGGCGGTACCTGAGGGGGAGGAAGGAAGAGCTCCAGCTCATCTCTGAGGGTGAGTGAGGGCAGCGGGCTGCCAGCGGGGGCTGGCGGGGAGCTGCGAGCCCTGCCCCGGCTGCGGAGGGCTCTGCTCCCTGTGCGGACCAGGGCCGGCGTGGGCAGAGCACACAGAGGTTTCAGGGCACCTGGGGGATTCCTGGCCAGCAGCTTCGGGCTGATCCAGCTGGTCCCTGCTCCCTGCTGGCCATGGCCAGAGCCGGCTGGGATGGCCCTGGCACAGAGTCCCCTCGGGTCCCCTCAGATGTGGGAACTGACCATGGCTCTGTTCCTCTCTCTTTCAGCCCTTGAAGGCATGGCCAATGACATCAGTGTCCCCGTCGCAAGCCTGGCAGTTCAAACATTGTACGTCCTCCAGGAAGCAGAGAGAGCTCCATACTCCATCTTTGACAACCTGCATGATCGGCTCCGCAGGGCATGGAGGAGACGGCCTCGTCTGTCGGGGCTCGGCTGGCTGCGCTGCTGGAGCTCTGCAGAGAGCTGATCCCAGAGGCTCTGTCTGCTGGGGCCGCCCGAGCCAGCAGGAATGTTTCCTTTCTTTAAGATTGTTCTTTTCTTTCTCTTTGTTTTACTTTAGCATATAAATATAGGATGTGTTGTAATAGACAGACTCCCAGGATCTTTCTTTTGCTGCCCAGGTTCTGCAGGGCCTAGGGGAAGAGGGACAAAAGGGATCCCTGGCTCAGCAAGCTGCCCAGGCATGCAGGGTTGCAGGGAAAATGGCCAGAAGCCCCTTGGCCTTTGGTGGTTCTGCCAAAGCCTTTGTGCTGCCCACAGAGCAGATGGGCAGGGGCTGGAGCTGTGGGGATCTCTGTGAGAGCGGTGCCTGGAGATGGCCACAAGCCCTGTCCCAGGCAGGAAGCGCCATCCGTGTCCTCCTGCCCGTGTGTTGCTGCCTGGATTGCTGAGGGCTCCCAGGTGCCTCTGGATGGGCTCCTCTGGAGCTCCTGTGGGGCTGCGGCGCTGCTGCCGGGCAGGTTGGCCGGGCTGGGGAGAGCCTGAGGGGACGGGGCCACGAAGGGATGAGGGGCTGCGGAAGCCCTGACAGGACAAGGCAGTGGGAAGGCACGGGGGGGACGTGTGAGGGAGTGGGTAACGTTGGCTCGGGGAGGAAAGTGGGTTGGAGCCAAAGAGACCACTCACCCCGATGTTCCTGTGGCAAACAGAGCACGTTTATTCTCAAGCCCTTCCTTCTAAAGGGCCTTTGAAAAACCCAGTCTGGATGATTTCACTGGTCTGATCTCTGTGCCCCTTCAGATTCTGGCCTGGGGAATGCCTGCAGCCTTGGGAGAGCTGTGATGGGCCAGGCCCCTGTCAGTCAAACCAGGGCTGGTACATTCACCCCGTACAAGCCAGCCTGCACGGTGACACGGCAACAGAGTGCGAGGCACAGCTGCGGGTGCTCCCCGTGAACCTCAGCTCTGGGACCACTGCCTGCCCCAAGCTTCAGGGGCTGCAGGGGGAGCCCGGCTGGGCTCTGCCCTGGGGCCATCCTGCAGGGACAGCTGCACACAGCCTGCAGCTTTGGGAATGGCATTAGTGCCTAGGGTGGGGGGGAAGCTGCAAGTCCTTGACTGCTGTCTTGTGTTGCTGAGAAGAGGAAGGACATCTTGGAACTGGGGATGCTCTATTTGAAGTCAAGCGGGCAACTTTGTGGTGGGGGAGCTGCGTGGGCCAAAAGGACGCAGGGGTGCCGGTCAAGAGCAGCTGAAGGTGGGCCAGTGTGTGGCCAGGTGGCCAAGAAGGCCAAGGATGCCCTGGCCTGTGTCAGCAGCAGTGGGGCAGCAGGAGCAGGGCAGTGACCGTCCCCCTGGGCTGGGCAGCGCTGCGGCCATGGCTGGGAGTGCTGTGTCCACTTGTGGGCCCCTCTGAAGCAGAAAGTCCTCGAGGGGCTGGAGCGTGTGCAGAGAAGGACACGGGAGCTGGGGAAGGCTGTGGAGCGCAAGGCCAAGGAGGAGGTGCTGAGGGAGCTTTAGCCTGGACAACGGGAGGCTTGTGAGGGACCTTCAGATCCATGGATCCATACATGGCAGTGCTCACCACCAGGGCTGTTTCCCTGCCAGACATGCCCTCACTGCATCCAAGTGCTTTAGCCACCTGAGGAGGGGACACTTCCGACTTGTGGTTTGTTGGTTTGCTAGGAGGAGAAGCCCTGCTCATTTTCTCTCTTTCCAGCAAGCAAAGAGGCGTCTGCGCAACCTTTCCTGCCCTTTTCGTGCACTGCATGGGATTCTGATCCAGTTTGAGTTTTCCTTGTCTGCCGCAGCAATAACAAAGTCCGTGCTGGCTATCTCTGACTTTTCCATTTCAGAGTTTTCAAGAGCTAAAAGCTGCATTGTGCAGAGGCACCGCTGCTTGCTGATGGCAGCCAGGGAGGACTATCAAATTCATAGAGTTCATCAAATAGAGTTCTGTTGAGTTAACCCACTTTAATCTGGTCAGAGTCACTTAGAATCCCATCGCTAACAGAGTTGCTGATTTCTCCTTGGAAGTGGTATTTGTGGATCCGAGGAGGAACGAGGTTATAAATGAGAGGTAACGGCCTGTCCATCATGCTTCTCTCTTGCCGCAGATGGCAGAAGGAACAGCGGTCTCTGCCCTGGCTCCCTCTGCTCCAGGAGAAGAAGGCAAAGAGGGGCAAAATGAGCAAGATGATTTTTAAAACTTTAAGAAGGGATAATTAGAGACAAATCAATAACAGCGCTGGGTGCTTGGCAATGGCCAGAGGCACACTGGTTAGCCATAGCAACTCTTCTTATCTACTTTTTCCATTGTATTGTCCAAAAACATATTCATAAAGATTATAGACATTCAAACATTTCTTTGAACTCATTTACTTCTTCCAGGAACTCTTTTGGTTTGACCCCCAACCCGCCTTTCTAGAGTCCGTGCAGGAATCATGGATTGTTGTTTTGAGGGTTGTGTGTCACTTCCTCACAACAGCCCCCTGATCCCCGATTCAGCTGGGAGTTTGCGGGCCCCAAGTTGGGCAACTCCCTGGGGGCTCCCCTGGCAGGGGGACCCTCCTGGAGCAGTTCTGTGTCAGGAACCAGAGCTGCATTGGACTTTTTCGGTCTTCAGCTTCTGTTTATTCTTATCAAAACTTCAGCACACTGTCTGCACCAGACTCTGCGTGCAGGAAAACAGCACAAAAATGGCCAACAATCTCTTGTTACAAGGCCTTGTAAGTCTAATCAAAAACTAAGCTACCCAATTAAGAAGTGACACCTAAATTAGTTTTCTTTCTAACCCAGTAACTGACCCCTAAAGACCCACAATGCAGATTATTCTACCCAATTACAGGATACCACATAAACCCAAAAAGAAAGAGAAGAAGAAGAAGAAAGAAGAAGGGAACTCAAGACAACACCCTATATCCTCCATCTTGAACCCATCTATAACATACTAAAAATTCTAAAACCTAAATTTTTCACCCATATGACATACTCCACTACTCTCTGCAATCTCTACAATCTATTTCACACTTTTGTGGTTTCTAGCTTACTTTGAAGCTTTGGAAGTTTTCTCCATGAATGAGGGTCAAAGTCAGTGCTCCCCTGGGGGTCAGGACACCCCAGAGCAGACAGAGAAATATTCCCGGTGCCCTGGGTTTCCACATCAGCAGGCGACAGTTACTGACAGTCGAAGGGTCAGCGGCAGGGTCCTCATCACACCCGTTCCTTAAACGTTATCTGGCCATGCAGACGGTCTTAGCTACTTCCACAAGTACTTTAAATCAACATTGGCTGTTTCACAAATATCTCTGAGTTATTACTGTCAGTTAGTTACAAAAAGAAAAGCATTAGTTATTATTTCACAACTACAGCTACTTCTGCAAAAGTTAACATTCTAATGCACAACACATGGCATCCACTTCAATATTTTGTAAAAGCCAAAACTATCATGTATGTTTTTCACACTGTGCACAAACTAAACTATCATCCATGAATGATGTTCTGAGGATATGAGCTACACAGGGGCCAGGGCATTGACCACAAAAAGCTGACAAATTATACTACAGCAAACGCATGTTAAAAGTGATTACAAGCTGTACTGTATCTAAATCGTTGCGATTAAGAATAAGTTGCAGAAGCCAAGACATCACAGCAAAAGCCACAACTACATAGTCCTTTATAACAAACCCAGGGCAGGTGTTTCCCTTGCAGGGAGCACTGGGGCCTTCCCCGGGCCCCTTCTGCCCTCTGGCCGAGCCGGGGGCATTTTCCAGCACACGCAGTTTGTACCCAAGAGTCGGTGCAGCCGAGAAGGCTCCGAGCGCCTCCTCCCAGGCTGACTCTGCAGATGCCCCGGCTGCTCTGGGCTCTGCCAGGGCTCTGCTGGGGCTCAGCTCTGGGCGAGGCTGGGCCCGCTCTCCCCTCACATTGCTCCGGGCAGCTGAGTCACAGAGGGAGGAGGAAGGGACACGCCAAGGGAGTTGAGGTTTAACAGAGTTTTTATTCAAAAAACTGCCATGCCAAACAGGCTGTCATAAGAACTGTAACAAACAGGGTGTCCTAACCAACATAACCAACTAGCACTGCTAACTACCATCACTAACTAGTTGTCCTCACTAACTACTGTAACTAACAGCTGTTTTCAAGTGCTTCATCTCCTCCGCTGCTCCCTCAGTTGCTTTGCTGCGGTGATCAGAGGGGTCAGGCTGGAGAGAAGCTTGGCTGATGATAAAAATGGGTGCTGCCCAAAGGATAAAAAAGAAAGAAATGAACCGTTACTTTCCAGAGTCAACTTCCTCACAGGCTCTGTTGCAACAGGACAAAGGGAAATGGTCAGAAACTCAGGAGAGGGAAGCAGGCTCAGGTTAGATCTAGGGCAGAATCCTTTTGCCAGGAGAGTGGGGAAACACTGACAGAAGGTGCCCAGAGATGTGGGAGGTGCCTCCTCCCTGGGAACATCCAAGCTCAGGTCAGGCAGGGCTCTGAGCACCTGCCCTGCCTGAAGATGGCCCTGCTCCTTGTGGGGCACCAGGTGCAGATGCCCTCGAAAGGACCCTGCCAAGCCAAACCAGGCGAGGGTTCTGCTTGCTTTGCGTGTGGAACGCAGCGAGACTGGAGACTATCGGAGGGCCCCACCAGAAAACCCCTCCCTGGCGCTGCTGCTTCCCCTGCAGCCGCTCGGCATTCACCTGCAGCAGCTCCTGGGCAGAGCAGCGCCGCTCCTCGTCCGGCTCCAGGCTGCACTCGAGGCAGTCCCGCAGCAGAGCCGACAGGCGCCCGGGCTCCTGCAGCTGCGGGGGCCCGTTGTGCCGGATCAGAGCGCGAGCCTGCAGGAAAAGCAAACTCAGCGCTCTGCCAGCTTCCTTCCCACCCACAGGTGCTCACATCGACCCCGGGTTCTCAGCCCCAGCTCCAGGGGCACTTTCCTCCCTGGCACAGATGCTGCTCACAGCTCATTTTCCTGTGCCAACCAAAAAACCCAAACCCTGGTGCTGCCACAGCCATTGGAAAGAGCTGATGCACTTGCTTCACATTTTCAGGTCATCCTCACAGCCAGAAGAGCTGCAACAGCGTAAATCCCAAAGCCAATTGTTGCTGGAGACTGCAGAATATTTGTTTGTGTTGAGGCTCGAGTGCTCTGGGAATTCCCTTCCCCATGTGCAGAAACCTCCAGCTGCTGCTCCCAGTGCAGGGTCACCCTGTGCTCACAGGGCTCTGCAGCCCCTGGAGAATTTGCCTCTGACCATGGCCTCGTTTCCTTGAAGTAAGGAGCTTCTCCTCCCACCATCTCGTGTTGCCGTGCGTGGCCAGTCCGAGCGGGCGCCGGCGGACGCGCGGGAGGAGCGGGGAGGCGGCCGCTGCTTTCCCCCGGGCGCTGCGGGCTCAGTCTGAGCGCACGGACAGACGGATGGTGGACACGGGGCTGGGGGCGGACACGGGGCTGGGGCGGACACGGGGCTGGGGGCGGACACGGGGCTGGGGGCGGACACGGGGCTCGGGGCACACGGGGCTGGGGGCACACACAGGGCTCGGGGCACACACGGGGCACACACGGGGCACACACGGGGCACACACGGGGCTCGGGGCACACACGGGGCTGGGGGCACACACAGGGCTCGGGGCACACACAGGGCACACTCGGGGCACACTTGGGGCACACATGGGGCACACACGGGGCACAAACGGGGCACACACGGGGCACACACGGGGCTTGGGGCACACACAGGGCACACACAGGGCACACTCGGGGCACACTCGGGGCTCGGGGCACACACGGGGCACACACAGGGCACACACGGGGCTCGGGGCACACTCGGGGCACACACGGGGCACACTCGGGGCTCGGGGCACACTCGGGTTTATTGTGGGTGCGGCTTCCCGAGGCCCCCGGGCACCAGCGGGGTACCTGATCTATCCCCCGAACTGGGCGAGGGGGAAACGGACCCGCGGCCGATGAGGACGGAGCGGGGGCAGGGAAACCCCCCGGGAAAGCAGGAGACCCCGGGAACGGGGCGGGCATGGGAAAGGCGGGGGCGGAGGGAGCGACCGCGGGGCGAGGGGGAGGGAGGCAGGGTCGCAGCACAAGGGGAACCGCGTGGGGAGCGGCAGGGGGAATGGGGGAAAGAAGAAAAATTACAACTCCCACATTCGTCTGTGTCGTGGGAGAGAGAGGGGCAAAACCAGGAGAAAGAAAAGGGAAAAAAGGAGATTTCCCCCCATTGTTCCTTCATCTCCCCACCTCCAATTCAATAGCAGGGAGTTATCAATAAACAATAGCAGTGAACTGTGAATAATCAATAGCAGGGAGTGATCAATAATCAGTATCAGTGAGTTATCAATAATCAATAGCAGTGAAATATCAATAATCAATAGCAGGGAGTTATCAATAATCAGTATCAGCGAGTTATCAATGATCAATAGCAGTGAGTTATCAATAATCAGTAGCAGGGAGTTGTCAATAGTGAATAGCAGATTATCAATAATCAATAGCAGGGAGTTATCAATCATCAATAGCAGTGCATCATTCAATCTGAATTTCTCACAATATTACAAAGAAATCAATCCAATATTCATTATTGATTATTGATTACTAATTCATAACCATCACAAAGAAATTTATCCAATATCAATTAATTATTGATAATTAATTAATCAATATTACAGGGAAATAAAACCAATAGTAATTATTAATTCTTTATTGTTACCAGCATTACAAAGAAATAGACCCAATATCAATTATTATTAATTAACCAACACTACAAAGAAATTATTATTAATTATTAAGGATTAATTAATCAATATTATAAAGAAATCTATCCAATAATAATTATTAATTATTGATTATTATTAATCAATGTTACAGATAAACGAATCCTATATTATAAGTCATTGATTATTAATCAATATTACAAGGAAATCAATCCTATATTATTTCTTATTGATGCTACAAAGTAACCAATCAAATGTTGTTAATCAAAGTTACAAATAAAATAATCCAATATTATTTATTAATTATTGATTATTAATCAATATCACAAAGGAATCAATCTATGTTATCAAATATTATTAATTATTAATTACTCAATACTACACAAACTTTTATCCACTCTTCATTATTATTTATTATTAATCAATACTACAGAGAAATCAATCCAATGTCATTTATTTATCATTAATTAATCAATATCACAAATGAATCATTCCAGTATTAGTTATTGATTATTGATTACTGATCAGTGTCACACAGGAATTGATCCAGTATTAATTACTGATTATTGATTACTGATCAATGTCACACAGGAATCGATCCAGCATTAGTTATTAATTATTGATTATTGATCAATATCACACAGGAATCGGTCCAGCATTAGTTACTGATTATTGATTATTGATCAGTACCACACAAAAATCGATCCAGCATTAGTTATTAATTATTAATTATTGATCAGTATCACACAGGAATCGATCCACAGCGCGTTCCCTGTAACGTTTCCCGCTCGCCACGAGCTCTGAAAGCACCAATCGCGGGTCTGTAAAATCACAAACTAATCACTAATTACACAAGTTAATTAGTAATAAATTACTAATTACACAAGTTAAAATTAGTAATAAAATAATAATTATAATAATCAGAGCAATAAAAACATGGACAATGAGGGTCAGGACACGACAAGATGATAAAAAATGAAGAATTTTGGACATCCGGGAGTTTTGGCCACTGTGAAAATACCAATCAGTTGTTCTTGAAATTTTAAAAGTTTATTAGTAATAAAATAGTTATTAAAAATAAAAAATAAATAAAAACAGAGTAATAAAAATCTGGACAATGACATTTAGGACACCACAAGGCGATAAAAAGAAAATCATTTTGGATGCCCGGATGTTTTTGGGCATAGTGAAAAATGCCAGTCCTGGTTCTTTAAAATCTTTTACAAATTACTGATTCAAACAAGTTAATTAGTAATAGAATAGTTATAAAAATAGCAATAAAATAGGAGTAATAAAAATTTGGACGATACAAAAGGAAGAATTTCGGACATCCAGGAGTTTTTGGGCACTGTGAAAACACTGATCAATTGTTTCTGAAATTTTAAAAGTTTATTAGTAATAAAGTAGTAATTAAAAAATATAAAAAATAAAAATAAAATAAGAAGAAAAATATTAAAATAATAGTAAAATAAAATTTAAAAATAAAACCAGAATAATAAAAATGTGGACAGCGTGTAGTAGTAGGGACAGGTGAACGGAAGATCTCGGGATGTGACGGAAAGAGAGACCCTTCCCCCCTCTCCCTGCTTCACGTTATCTATTAACCCCAAAGCATGTAACCACACCTAACCCAGTAGTTTTCCACTCCCGACTAACCTAGAGACCTTACCAACCCCCCTCTGACGTAGCAAAGTCCCCCAAGACTATTTAAACCCATGAGACAAGATAATAAAGGCTTTCGACCGTCCACCACATTGGTGTCCACGTGTTTGTCGTTAGCCCGAGTGGCCCGAACAGGCCGGGCCGCCGTGCTGTCTTCTTGGAACTAGGTCGCCGTTGTCTTTCATAAAGGCAACAAATCTGGTGCCGAAACCCGGGACGAAGAGAAATTCACTCGGGTAACGGGATACGCCTGGACAGGAGCAGCGGCCAGAGCGGTCAGACCGTATCTTGGCGCAGGGAGACGTCCCAGGACCCGCGAGCGTCATGGACAGCATCGCCAGGGTCGTAAGTGCGATTTATAAGCAATGGGGTATCGAGTGTAAGCTCAAGGACTTTTATCTTTCTATAGCGAGGCTGCTTGAGCTTGGGGCAATTGAGCGTCCAGTGGATGTTTTACATCCGGAAATATGGGAAAAATGCACAGCCACGCTGGCCAAGGACACAAAATCCTCAGGCAGTGGCAAAAACCTTAAGGCATGGGGCAAAGTAGAGAAAGCCCCGCGCAGGGCAATAGAAGAGCAGGAGACGTGGAGCGCCGCGTGTACCTGTTTATTAGTTACTCCCAAGCTAGGGGTGGGGGCAGGAACGCAAACTGCACCTGAGAATGATCTGCCCGGTAGCGGGGACCCGGGGGGGCTCAGCGCGACACCCCCTTCCCCAGATCAGAGCCCAACCCCCGCCGTAGAAGCCCCCCGAGACACCCCCGCCGCGGAAAACCCCCAAAAAACCCCCACCGCTAAAACCCCCCGAGAGACCGCAGCTTCCTCCGTCCCGCTGCCGCCACCAGCCCGCGATCCGTTGTCAGAGACGCAGCAGCGCGCGGAGCGCTTCTGGCAAGGGCTGGCGAAAGAAGCCCGAGACGCAGAAACCACGGCTCGAGAAAACACGACCGCCATGCCGTCTCCTTATCCCCTTGAAAATGGTGCCGATCCCCGTGGGGAGGGGCGGGGCGCAGGCAGTCTCGGCGCGAAAACCCGGGCAGTGCGCGGTTTCAGGGACGTGCGTGCGCGGGAGAAAGAGGAGGAGAGCGGCAGAGAACGCGGAGCCAATCGGCAGCCACACCGGGCGCCGCTACCATTTAAGGGAGAGACCTCCCCCTGCAGGAGGCAGGGCAAGCCGGGGGGGGGCGGGAGCGGCGCCACCCCCGCGGGGAGGAGCGAGCTCGGAGCCGGACAAAAAGGCATTGAGCCCCGGAAATGCGCCGGCATCCGACTTCCGACTCAGAGTCCAGCAGCAGCTCCGCCAGCTCGGAAGAGCTGCCGGAAGCCGGCTATGATTCTGAGACGGAAGAAACGGAGCCAACGCGATTTAAGACAAAACCGAATAAAGATCTAAGCTGCACCGAAAAACAACCACAATACGAACCAGCCCAGTTTACCAACTGGGGAGAAATAAAAATAGCCTGTGCTGAATGGTCCCCAGCGGCTGCCATACAAGCTTTCCCAGTGAGGCTCACCGGCCCGGAGGGGAACCAACAAAGGGTATATACCCCGATAAACCCAAAAGATGTACAGTCAATTGTCAAAGCCATTGCAGAAAAAGGGATCAACTCGGCTATAGTCACTACGCTAATCGATGGTCTTTTTAGCAACGATGATTTGCTTCCCTTTGATATTGAACGGATAGGGCGCATGATACTTGATGGTGCGGGAATGATTGTCTTCAGACAGGAATGGGAGGATAATTGTAGGAAGCAGTTAGCCCAAGCATCTGGCGCGAGGCAGCCCCTACATAGATCGAGCTTATCCAGACTAATAGGAAAGCATGATGATATGATCACGCCGCAGCAACAAGCCACGCAGATGCAGGCTGAGGAGGTCAGGGCGACCACTCGGGCTGCCAGAGAGGCTATCCGCGTGGCCTCTCGAGTCGTGGCTAAGCCGGCGCCGTGGTCCACCGTGAGGCAGGCAGAGAGCGAAAGCTTCACACAGTTCGTAGACCGCCTGAAGGCAGCGATAGACTCCTCCACCCTGCCGGCAGAGGCAAAGGGCCCCGTGGTAGCTGACTGCCTGCGCCAGCAGTGCAACTC